CTCATGAGGGCTGGCCGTGTAAGGGCCAGAGACCCTGTCTCCGAGGGGTTTACAGTCTCATGAGGGCTGGCCGTGTAAGGGCCAGAGACCCTGTCCCCGAGGGGTTTACAGTCTACGAGGAAGGAGACATTTGCATGAATGGCTAGCGTTAGGGTCAAATGAAGCAATTGCATCCCACAAAACTGTTTTTAAAGTAGAGATGTGCTCCCTGTTGTAGTAAGGCATATTGTCTTATAAATAGTTTGGACGAATACACAGTTGAAAGGTGAAGTGTGTGGCTGTCTTTTTTGTTAGGATTAGATGTGAGCGTAGGAACTGGACCCCCAGAAGATTCTTACTGAGAAATATGACAACTCATGCTCACTTTTTGTGCATGTAGCTTTAATGTGGTGGTAAAATTATCTTAATGATGGAAACAATTAAGACCAAAGAGTTGCTGCCCTCTCACTGCTTTGAAAGTTTTTGAAAATTCTACTTACACTTCAAATTTTAAGTTCCTAGTTTTGGGAAGTTGTGAAACTCCTGTGAGTCAAGGCTTTTTTGCCTGTACCCTTTGTCCACAGTGATACGGCGTTCTGTATGCCGACCCTCCCACCAGATGAGACGTACTCAAGGCCAGGCGCTGCGTCTAAGTTATCTCTGTATCCTTAACGTCTGGCTGGTATCTGTGCTCTGCCTGTGGTTGCAGATGCTCTGCAAATGATTGTTAGATGGAGGGACAGGAAAAGATTAAAATGCGAAGTAGAATGTGATCGTCGTTGCTAGGTGCCACCGAGTCAATTCCGACTCAAGCAGCCCTGGGTACACGGAACGAAGCACTGCTTGATCCTGCACCATCCTCAGTCGCTGCTACCTGTGAGCCCATTGTTGCAGCCACTGTGTCACTTTGGTTGGTGATTAGGCACCAAAATGAGCAATATAGGCATGGAGGTTCCAGAGGGTTCAGGCTTGGGAGGAGTCGGGGTTCTCAGAGTGGCTGGAGGGAGAGTGGAGCGTCCTGGGAAGGAGAACGTCTGACTGCTAGAGTAGGAGTGGAGGCAGGGGGTGAATGCAGCCTCTGGGAGAGCCCGTGTGGAAGTGAGGTGGTGGGACCCATATCTTGTCAGCTGCGTTCTAGTTCCTTGAGCAGATGCCTTTCAGTGAAGCATCTGGGCTTGATACAGGTCTTGTGGAGGAAGTGAAGGGTGTTTGTGGCCTTTTCAGGTTCATCATGAGTGAAGAACATGCACTTTTGGTCTGTGAAATTGTACTTTCTTTTTTTCAGCCACCGTCAGAGACTGACATGATGCCTGAGGGACCATCCTTTCCTGTCTGCAGCACTTTCGTGCAAGAACTTTTTCAGGCCCAGTACAGGTATGATCGGCACATTCCCCTGACCTGGCTGCTTGACGTGGTCCTAGGTGATTGTAATCTGAGTGTCACCTTTTTGTTTTTGAAGATCTTCTTTGACATGTCCTCATTGTCAGAAACAGAGCAACACCTTTGACCCTTTTCTCTGCATTTCTTTGCCAATTCCTCTACCCCACACAAGGTAAGACCAGCTGTAGTAAAATACAGACTGTGTATTCCAATAGTGTTCCTTTTCCTTTGTAGATTTCTGCTTGGTCTTCATACTGATTTAGACAAGGAATGGGACTGATGATAAACTGAGTGTAGGCATTGTTAAACTCTGTGGAAATAAATGGCTGAGTTTGCAGAGTGAACAGGTGTTTGAGGTCAGCAAGAAAGTCCTGTCGTCTGGGTCAGCTCGCCCGCCCGCCATGGGGAGAGAGCCCTGTTGTCTGGTTCAAGGTGCCCTCCATGGGCAGGATGGGTGGAGTCATGCTCTTGACCACCTTCTAAAGTCCCTAGAAACCTTACATTGTGTCTAAAATTTTTATTTCATTGTGGTAAAAAATATGCGAAGCACTTGCTGTTTCAACCATTTTTATGTGTACAATTTAGTGACATTAATTATAGTCACCACCTTATGGAACCACCACCACTATTTGTTTCCAAATTTTTTCATCACCCTGAACAGAAACTCAGTGCCCCTTAAGCAGTAACCTCGTCATTTCTTCTTCTTATTTGTACTATTCTTTTACTTAGTTGCTTTGTTATGAACTGTTTCTCAACTTCCTGGAGTTATGTTGATTTAAAGAAAATGCAAAGCACAGAAAGCAGTATTGATTTGTTATGTTTTTGTTCTCTGAAGACTCCTTTTGCAGAGATCTCTTAATTACTGTTTGACAATTTTACCTGGATCTATTTGACTTCCAGATAAAAGTGTGGGTTTGTTTCAGTGTTAGGCTGTTTGCAGACCAGGCTTGTCTGCTGCTTCTGTATTTTAGTTGAGAGAAGTGACTAATGGGCAGATGTGACTTTGATCTGTCTAGGCCTCTCTATGTCACTGTAGTGTATCAAGGCAAGTGCTCTCACTGCATGCGGATCGGCGTGGCTGTGCCTCTGTCTGGGACTGTTGCCAGACTTCGGGAAGCAGTGTCTATGGAAACCAAGATCCCCACTGACCAGGTACCAAGTCTGCTAAGACCATTTACACACGGACCACAAGAGTGATGGCTTGCTGTTTTCTGGGATGTTTCAGCAGTTCTCTGCCACATAGGGTTTGATAGAAATTTAAGACCAGTTGCTTCTACTGTTGTGGAAAAAAGACCCAAAAGAGAAAAATGTACATAAAAGCTTTTCATGCTTCCATCAGTCATATGTGTGTGCATGTATTTTTTTTTTTTTTTAAAGGAAAAGCTGTGACATTACACTAAGACCATCTTTTAACTTTGCTTATAAAGTACAATTACAGGTAGTCCCAGCTCACGATGGGGTTCTGTTCTGATGACTAAGTCGGTTTTGACATAAGTCACATACCTCTTTTATTTTATTTTGTTTGGTTTTCATTATTGCCTGCTATGTGGCAGTGTTTTGAGCAGTAAATGATAACAGTGAATGTGTGTGCGTGAACATCTGAGAATGGTAACATCAGCAAATTACATTGCAACACTGTCGTCTGTGGTACGTGTCACTAGTGATAAGATGTACAAAACAGACAGGAACTGTAAGTACAGTTTGCAGTTCATAGTAACTTGCATACACTGTAAATCAGATACTGCTTGTACTTCTCACCTCTTAGATCATTGTATGGACGCCATAGAAAGAACATCTCTGTGATATTTGAAAATCAAAGAGGTTTAGAAAACTCAGCTGTGGCTTTAGAAAACTCTTTCCCATTATGGTGATAAGAATGGAATCTGCTTGCTAGTGCAATGTTATTTACATATTAGATGGTCAGCGTGTTTTATTTTCTCACTGAAGTTGGACCAGGGTCTCTTATCTTGTTTAGCTAAGAGAAAGGAAAGTTTCTGTGTGTCTGTCTGGTTGGTAAGTCTTCCTAAGATGTTGCTGTCCATTGCCTTTAGCCCACTGATCCTGACTCTCCACTTCCCGGCGCTGTGTGTGCGGAGCAGAAATGCTCTGTGGAATTTCAAGGCTGTGGCCTCTCAGAAGCCACTCACCAGACCCATCTTCTGAGGCCCCTGTGGGTGGGTTCAAACCGCTATTTCTGGCTGGTAGTTGAGCACTTAACCATTTGCACTACCCAGGGAACCTCTTTCATAAATAGCTGTACTTGTGTCAACCAAAAATGCTTCTGGCCTTTTTGTGAACTTGAAATATTTTTGCATGCAGTTTTAACCTGATTCACTGCTATGATTTCATTTGGGAAAACATCCCCATTTTAAGATTTGCTTAGGAAAGATGATTCTGCGACTGACTGGCTCTTCCCCACATGGTTTCTGGAAGCTGCTCTGTGATCACTGGAATGAGGAAGGTGTTTTGTATTTTGGCCGTATGTGGCCTCATTTGGGTGGTTACCACAGAAGAACAAATACAGCCAGCAGTGTTGCCCTGTGTGGTAAACATCTCATATTTTCACAGGGCAGGTACTGGCACATTGGAAAAAGATTCCTCTTCTTCACTCTAAAGAGCTCATTGATTTTTTTTTTTTTCCTTCTCGATAAGGGGAAGGACGGATAGAGCAAGGGAGGCTTAAGTGTATGTCCAAGGCAAATCTGGTTGCATATTTAAAGCTTCCAGTTCTGTTTGGCTCTTTTGGCATGTGTTTTAAATTGCTGAGATAATTATAGCTTTGCTTTTGACTTTAGCTTGCTAGAGAAATTGAATTATATTTACATATTCACCAGCAGAAACACAGCATGGTTGTTAATATTATTAAAAAGAAAAAGATGCCAGGAATATTTTTCCTGGACTGAGAGGGAGCCCTGGTGGCGTAGTGGATAAGACTTTTGGCTGCTAACCAGAAGGTCAGCAGTTCAAACCCACCAGCTGCTCCATGGAAGGAAGATGGGGCGATCTGCTTCTGTAAAGGTTTATAGGCTCAGAAACCCAGTGCGGGTCACTGTGAGTTGGATTCGACTCGATGGCATTTTTTTTTTTTTTTTAAATTAGTGGAATAAGGAGCTTTGGTGGTGTGGTGGTTAAAGCATTCCACTGCTGACCAAAAGGTTGGCGGTTTGAAACCAACTATTAGTTCGTGGAGGAGTTCTGGTAGTGTAGTGCCTAAGGCGGTTCAAACCCACCAGCCACTCCTCGGAAGGAAGGTTAGGCGATCTACTTCCATAGTGATACTGCCTCGGAAACTCAAGGAGGGGTCGCTATGAGTCAGGTCTGACTCGACGGCACGTAACAACAGCAACAACATTAGTTTGTGGGAGGAAGATGAGGCAGTCTGCTTCCATAAAGATTTATAGCCTTGGAAATTGTTCTACTCTGTTCTCTAGGGTCCCTGTGAGTCGGAATCGACTCGATGGCAGTGGCTTTGGTTTTATTTGTGGAAAATGCCATCAGCTTCTTTTATATCATAGTCTCACAGAATGGTAGTGCTGGTAGGGGGACCAGTCTAACGGCCTCATTTGAAGGAGGCCCCTAGAAACCGTGGGACTTAGGGTCCAGGGCTGCTTGGTGGAAGGCTGGGCTGGGACCCAGTGCTTCCTTCACAAGATGCATGCTGTGGAGCATGTCAGGAAGTCTCTAAAGGTCTCCATCCTGCCCCCCTTTTTCTTCCCTATTTCATTGAGCATTTCAAAAATCCAGTTTGGGAAGTGAAAATATCTTATACTAAGTATCTTAGTACTAAAGTTTAGTAACTGTTAATACTTTGTTATAGATTCATTCATATTTTTTTTTCCTGTGTGTATATTATTTTATAGAAATGGAATCATTTTATGTATGTTGTTCTGTACCTTGTTTTTAATTTACTTCAGAGAGCTTTTCATTTGGCCCATTCTTTTAACCCTTTCATAGCTAAGTTACTTTCTATTTTAAAGGCAGAGTGAAATCAAGGGAAAACAAAATTTTTGTGTGTGTGTGTGTGTGTGAAGTAATAGGGATTTTGATACAACTACGTAGGACACATTGTCTCCAGTGGAGGGTGGTGGTTGGATTTGTGGGGTGAGGCGTTTCCTTCAGACTCACGCAGTTACACAGATTCCTGCCAGGTGGCAGCACGTACTACAACTGGGGATATCAGCTTCCCAAGAAACTGAGACAGATGCCTGGCAAGAAACCTGAGAGGCTGAAAATGTAGGTGGGTGATACATGTCCCGTGGTTCATGAAAGCGTTAAATGATTTTATAATTCCACTGTGACTCTAATGTAATTAATTCTAGTTCCTGTCGTTGGACATTTGATATTATTTTTCCCGTATAAATATGCGCAGTTACTGGACTTTTTTTAAACTTGAAAAGAAGTTCAGTGATGTGAGAGAAAGTCTCTGGGAATCAGATGTGGGCTCAGTGCTCACTCTGAGACTGAACAGTTGTATAAACTTGGGTCAATCACCCATCCTCTCTTTAGTTTCTTCCCCTGTGAAATAAATGGGTTAGCCTTCATAATATCCCAAAGCTCCAGTGGCACTATGGTTAAAGCAGTGGCCTGCTAACCAAAGGGTTGGCAGTTTGGAACCACCAGCTGCTCTACAGGAGAAAGATGAGGCAGTCTGTTTTCATACAGATTTACAGCCTTGGAAACCCTCTGGGGCAGTTCTACTCTGTCCTAATGGGTCACCATGAGTCAGGATTGACTGGATGGCAGTGGGTTTGGTTTTGGTTTGGACCAAAACTTAAGAGGAACTCTGGATTTAGTGCCATTGCATTCTGAGATCAGAGGATATTTGCGTCCAAAATTCTCTCATTAAAGAGTTAGGGGAGATGTTTCAAAGCCCCCTCAGATCATGGCACATCCTGGTGGTCTGGAGAAGCTCAGAGGAGAATGGGAGACCCGTTCTTGTGGACGTTCCAGCTATCCGACTGTTTGTTTTCCTGCTTTTAGATTGTGTTAACAGAGATGTACTATGATGGATTCCATCGCTCCTTTTGTGACACAGACGACCTGGAAGCAGTCCATGAAAGTGACTGCATTTTTGCCTTTGAGACTCCAGAAATATTTAGGCCTGAAGGAATTCTCAGTCAAAGAGGTAAATGACTACGCATTTCAGTAACACCATTTGGGTTTGCGGGTTTAGCCACTGCCCCTTTGTATGGCCAAATCATGGTAACATGTTGCCCTGGAAGAAGTCAGTTCATAACTGTTTTAGAGTTCTTTCCTTCATTTCTAATATTCCCTGTGTGGAGTTGGGACAGCCTCTTCCTGAAGCACAGGACTGACCCTGTCTTACCTGTGTGTGGTATTTTCCTTGGTATCTTATGATGCTGTTAGAGAAGATATACTGGGCCATAGTTTCTTCATATTTTGGTGCCAGCTCTGATGTTTAATTTCTAAATTCTGAAATCTTTGTTACAAAATATTTCCTTGATATTACTTTTTTTTTAAAATTGTGATTTGTGTAAAAGTTGACAGAGCAAATTCATTTTCCATCCACTTGTTCATATACATTGTGTTTCATGACGTCTATTGCAATCCCCATAATGTAAAAGCTCTCTTCCCACTTCCTCCCTGTGGTTACCTTTTCCCTGTCCTTCTTTTCCATACTAAGGAGTGTACCTGCCTGGTGTAAATATTCACCGTATTCACCTGTCTATAGTTTGGCTGGATACTATGGGAGTGAGTTCAATTCCAGGCATGAGGGATGACTAGTAGCCATAGTCTTGGGGGTTTTATGAGCTCTGGTGGCATGGTACATAAGGCATTTGACTGCTAACCAGAAGGCAGGCGGTTTGAACGCACCAGTCACTCCACGGAAGGAAGGTTGGGCAATCTACTTCCATAGTGATACTGCTTCACAAACCCACAGAGGGGGTCGCTATGAGTCAGATCCGACTCAACGGCAGTGTGTTTGGTTTTGGTTTTGGTCAGACCAGTAAGCCTGGTCTTTTTTATGATTATGAGTTTTATTCCACATTTGTCTCCCACTCAATACTCGCTGTTAAGATACATGTATGTAATACTTCATTTTTGAGCAGCAAAACAGAATAAAACTCTGGTGGTATGTGTCTTGCACTGTAGTCTGGGCTGTGATTTGTGAGTTAGCTTATCTCTCCATTATACGTGGGGGTTACAGAGCTGTTTCTGATTTGGGTAGTTGTCAAGTAACTGTGACTTGTTCCTGCAGAATCTTTGGGGGGCCTTCAAGGTTTTTCTCTTGGACTCCTGTTCTTTTTGTTTTACTCTAATAGTTATCAGATCATCAGTGTCACCTGGGAACTGATTAGGAATAAATGCAAATTTATGGACCCTACCCTAGACCTACTCACTCTGAAACTCTGGGGGTAGGGCCCAGTAATGTGGGTAACAAACCCTTTAACTGATCCTGACGCACACTAAGGTTTGAGAACTGCTGTTCACCCAATTATTATCAGTATATTCTACGACCGTGATTTTTAGAACCAAATTCTGCCCCCTAATCTGCACATTTCTCCTGGTTTCATTCCCTGACTTCCAGCTGTCTGCTGGAATCTCCTTAGGAGTCCTGCAGGCGTATTGCACTTAGTGTTCTTTCTTAGACGGGTTCCTCCTGTCTTCTGTGGAATAGTGGTACCCGTCTGGGTCCATGCTCTGTGATTTCTTCAGAATTCACAAAGAACTAGTACACCAGCCTGTCGGGAAATTGGGACCTAGAGGACTTGATCTCAGCAAAGTAGGAGACAGAGTTACTGGCTGAGGATCTAGTCAGTGGAGGTACATTTGGGCACTTGAACAGAATGGGGACTTTTGGAGCAGGGAGGATGGCAGCTGCTGCTCCAAGGCTGGGCTGGTACCACCTCGGCCCACTCAGAGACCCACTTGACTCTCCTTTCTCAGTGATTTTGCTGGTACCTTTTTCTGCCCACCTCTTAGCAACTGAAATTCCAGAGTGTATCTCTACCTGGATGGCCTACAGAGACCTCAAACTTTGTTTAAAACCTGATTTTTTCATTGTTATTACTTTTATCTTCAAACTGGCTGCTTTACTATATTCTCTGTTGTAGTCAGTGACCATCCCTCTAGTCCTCCAAGAGAAATGCCAGAGAACCAAATTCTGTTCTTCTCTCTTCCTCACCTTTATGTTATTGTTCGGGTTACCTCCTGACTGTTTCTTATGCCCTCCCTTGGGCTCCACTGGCCCTGCTGTACTCATAAGGGTCCGACATTCTTTCTTACCTAGAGTAGAGCAGCAGCCTCTGGATTATGGGTTTTATTTCAGGCTTCAGGGATAAAGAGCTTAGGCACAAACAGGAGCAGAGTGGTACCCACCTTCATAGGTGGTATGAGGATTGAAAGCAATAATGTGTATTTTTCACAACCATGATGAGCTTTTATAACATTGATTTCTCTTTCTGAAATTCCTTCTCCACCTGTGTGAACCCAAGGAGCGCCTTTCAGATCTCATGTTGAGCCCTGAAACTTTCTTTGACCTCTGTTAATGGACTTGAGTGCTTCATCCTCTGACTCAGACCTCTGCGTACACCAGTGCTATTATGACATCTATCACATGGCTTTTGATACTTATTTATATGCCTGTCTCCCCCACCAGACTGAGAAGGCCTTGGGTTATCTTTCATTCATCTTTCGTTAGCCTCCTTGGTAACAGGCATCTGTTAGGACTCTGATAAATGTTCATTGTATAGGTGAATGACAATACTGGGCAGAGAAGCCAGTGAGTTATAAACAAAAGGAAAGCACAGTTTTGGTGATTATTAAGCAAAGATGAATAAAGTAACTCTTGAAGATATTTTATACATATTGTAAACTTTTTACTTTGAGATAATTTCAGAGTTAGGGAAAAGTGACAAAAATAGTACAAAGAATTCCCATATAGCTTTCACCCCAATTCCCCAAAATGTTAACATTGTATTGTGTTTGCCTTATCTTAATGTTTGTTTTTTCTCTCTCTCTTACATATGTGTGTGTATATAATTTTTTTCTGAACCATTTGAAAATTTGTAAATGGCAAGCATAATGACCTTTTATGCATAAATGGTTCCACTGTGTCGAGTTGATTCTGACTCATGACGACCCCATGTACCACAGACCAAAGCACTGCCCAGTCCTGTGCCATCCTCCTGATCCTTGCTACGCTTGAGCCCACCGTTGGCAGCCCCTGTGTCAGTCATCCTCGTTGAGGGCCCTCCCCTTTTTCTCTGACCCTCTGCTTTTTACCACGCATGACATCCTTCTCCAGGGAGTGGTACCTCCTGACCACATGACCAGAGTCGGGTGAGGTGAAGTCTGGCCATCCTCACTTCTAAGGAGCATTTTGGCTGCATTTCTTCCAGGATAAATTTCTTCATTCTTCTGGCAGTCCATGGTATAGTCAGTATTCTTTGCCAACACCACGGTTCAATGGCATCAATTCTGCTTTGGTCTTCCTTATTAATTGTCCAGTTTCACATGCATATGAGGCATCTGAAAATACCATTGCTTGGTCAGGCACACTTTAGTCTTCAAAGTGAAATCTTTGCTCTTCAATACTTCAAAGAAGTCTTTTGCAGCAGAAGTCTTTTGCAGCAGATTTGCCCAATGCACTGTGCAATCTAATTTCTTGACTGCTGCTTCCATGGGTGTTGATTGATTGTCATCCAAGTAAAATGAAATCTTTAGTTCTAGTGTGTATATCCTAAAAACAAGGATATTGTCTTATGCAACCAAAATACAGTTATTAAAATCAAGAAATTGAAGTCGATGCAATGCTATAATCTTTCTTATTTTTTTCCCCCAGCCTCATACTTAAGTTCAGGTGATGGCAACCTGGCTTCCCCACTGTAAAGTTACTATTTTCCCTTTATAGTTAACAGATACATTGTGGTTAGATACTCTGAGAATATGCAAATATCTTTCATCAAACTACCTTTCTAGTTCATTGCCTGAATCTTGCCTGAGCCAGTGAGATGATTACCAAATGGTGATCGTCTAACTTCATCCTTTTGCCTACATTTATTAGTTGGATTTTCAAACAGTACTTAATGCTGGTTGGGACTGCGGAGAGGATTCTCTCATACACTACTTCTGGCAAAATGAATTGATACAGTCTTTGTGGAAAGCAGTGTGACAGTATGAGTCAGGAGTTTCAGAAATACCTCAAAGCTTTACCTTCTTGGAAACAATCCTAAAGAATGCTCAGATATATGGAAGGATTTATGTCTAGAATATCTGTCACACAGTTATTATTAGTAGTAAAAAATTGGAAGCAATCTAAGTGTCCACATATTTGGGAATACCCAAAAAATCACACCCACTGACTTCAAGTCGATTGTGACTCATAGCAGTGCTATAGGACAGGGTAGAACTGCCCGCATAGGGTTTCCAAAATCTTTATGGAAGTAGACTGCCACATCTTTTTCTTACGGAAGGGCTGGTGGGTTTGAACTACTGACTTTTTAGTTAGCTGAGTGCTTTAACAACCATGCCACCAAGGTTCCTATGTATGGGAATAGTTATATCTGCATACCGAATGTTTTCTATGGCATAAGATACCAAGCTGTAGGAGTAATTTTCAAGGACAGAAGATGTGACTGATGAAATATTAAATTAAAAAATGTCATCTGATCAATTTTTATTCAAATATATTTATGCAACTAAATGGAAAATATTATGTAGAAATATGTTAAAATTAATAATAGATATGTTCAGGTCTTGGAATTACTGGTGATTTTGGTTATTTAAGAAGTGCTTTTATATATTTTTAAATTACTCAGTAAGCATGCATCACTTTTGTAATTAGGAGAAAAGCTTTTAAAAAGGAGAGTAGTGGTAAATAGATATTATAAAAAGTACAGTTCTTATCTACTTATACTTACCATTTAATATCAGTTTAATAGGACTTTAGATTAATAAGATACTGCATGTTGATAGTGCTTATGATAATGATGAACAGATCTGTAACCTGAATAGCAGAAGCAAAAATACATAATGCAGAAATCACAAAAAAAAAAACCTCCTGAGAAACAGTCTTGATGGGATTCTTTTCTTTCTTTCTTTCTTTTTTTTTTTTTTAACTTGCTATCATTAGCCTGTTAAAGATTATTTAGAATAAAATTA